CTTTGTTTGAGTTCCTCCCTTCTTTCTGGCTGTGTCTGCTTGAGGGGTGCTTAGTATCTCTTTTATTAATCTTCCTATATCTTGCTTTACTTGGCTAAATATTTCACTTTTGAACTCGTCTATGAGGTCCCGAAGATATCTCTTTATGTCCACTGGTGCTTTGTCTGATATTGCATGTTTGCTGTTCTCATTCTCCTTTGTATTTACCTGTCCTGGGGCAATGCTCTCAGGGTTGGGACCTGGGGACTTTTTGTTGTTGCTTCTTCTTTCCATCTTTTTTGTTTCTTCCAGGAGGCCCCAGTTTGTTTCTTTGTTGGTTACAATTCTTCTGAAGCAAGCTGGCTAGATGACCCTTCCCACTGCCATGTGCTAGTGAGTTGCTGATGGGACAGCATATGCTGGCCCCTCCCCTCCGGATCAGTCAAGCTGCTGTGGCCTGCACTGTATTACTGTGTGCTGCCTCCCTTCTGGGTCAGTCAAGCTGCTGTGGCTTGCACTGTATTTCTTTGCACCGCCTCCCCTCCAGGTCAGTCAAGGTACTGTGGCCTGCACTGACAGTTAAACTTCTGAGGCTTCACTGGGTTAGTGTGGTTAGTGTGCACCACCACTGTAGGGACTTGATTTTGGATAACCTATTGGGTTTCAGCCAGGTCACAGGACCCAAGGCCTAGCTTACTCCACCAATCCCGTTCGGGAAGGGAACAACTGACTGAAGTCATTGCTGCCCCTTGTATTTGCCAGTCCTGCCCGATCCCAGAATGTCGTCTGCCGGAGCCCCCCTTTCTATGGAATGGCTCCACTCCCGTCACTCACCACAGGTTGATGTAGGTACCCTGCCAACTCAGCTCTCCATTTGGCTTGCCAACCCCCAAACTCAATGTAACTGCATCTCCAGTGAGTCGAAGTGGTGGGACCTCAGACAGCTTAGCAAGTCATGGCGGGACCTTGGCAAGTCACAGTGGAACCTCAGATGGTTGGCCAGTCGCCCGTTGTGGTGGGAAAATTGAACCTTTAGCTGTTCCAATAATAGCACTGGGACTGTATGTTTGGTTGGTTTTTCCTCACCTTAATTTCTTCTTGGGACAAGAGAATTCATCTCCCTCTGTTTGGGACTCCCAATGCTGTATTACGTTGAATTCTAAATTGACTATCTCAGGGAGCCTCTGTAGCCAGTTGTTATCTATTTGCCATCTTTGTTCCTTTCCTAATAGCCATGTTTAAACAAATGCAAAGGAACTGAAATTATCCCATGCATATTATCTGACTGCAGTGCAATCAAATTGGAAGTCAATGACAAAAGAAACCACAGAAACTCCACAAACACATGGAAATTATATAATACATTATTGAACAACTAATGGGTCACAAATGAAATTAAAGTAGAAATTAAACAGTATCTACAACTAAATTATAATGCTGATACAACATTTTGGGACTTATGGGATACAGTGAAAACAGTCCAAAGAAGAAAAGTTACAGAAGTCTCATATCAGGAAAATAGAATATAGTCAAATAAAGAACCCACTAATGAATCTCAAACTTCTAGAAAACGATGAGCAAGTCAAGGCCAAGTCTCATATCAGAGAAGAAATTATAAAGATCGAAGCAGAAATTAATGCAATTGAGACTAAAAAACAACACAAAGAGTCAATGAATCAAAAAGATGATTCTTTGAATGACTGAATAAAATTGATAAACTCTTAGCCAATCTTATCAAAAAAAGCAGGTTGGGGATATAGCTCAGTGGCACAGCATTTACCCAGTAAGTACAAGGTTGTGAGTTTCATCCCTGGTACCAAAAAAAAAGAAAGGAAGAAAAGACTCATTTTTATACAATTAGGAATGAGGAATTAGAAGAGTGATATCACAGTTGCTGCAAAAATCCAGAAGATCATCAACATCCACCTAGAGAATCTGTACTCTGATGATGGAAAACTTAGAAGAAACAGACTGCGAAATACATATGAACTACTAAAGCTGAATCAAGATATAAAAGTTCTAAATAAACCAATATCAGTCAAAGAAATTGAAAATGTAATTAAAAACCTGCTAACAAACAAAAGCCCAGGTCCTGATGAATCCACTGCTGAATGCTACAAGAAAATTAGAGAAGATCTAATTCCATTACTCCTCAAATTTTTTAATGAAATTGAAACTGAAGCTATACTCCCAAACTCATTCCTGGAAGCAAGCGTTACCCTGATACCAAAAAAATAGAGAACTACAGGCCAATTTCCCTAATGAACATAGATGCAAAAATGCTCAGAAAGGGGGATTTAGCTCAGCGGCATAAGCACCTGCCTTGTGAGCAGGCGGTCATGAATTTGATCTCCGGTATGGGTAAAAAAAAACAAAAAACAAAAAATGCTCAGTAACATAACAAAAAGGATTAACCATACTCTGTTTGATAAACTAATAAAAACTTAGTAGTACAGTTATCTATTTCTAAATAAAAAAAAAGAAGGATTAACCCCAAGGATGCAAGGATGGTTCAAAATAAGTAAATCAATAAATGTAATATACCATACACATACAAAGACAAAGACAAAAACCACATGATCACTTCAATAGATGCAAAAAAAGTATTTGACAAATTCCAACATGCATTCATGATAAAAACCCTAAAGAAAATCAGAATAGATGGTCTTTATCTCAATCTGATAAAACCCACCTATGACAAACCAACAGTGAACATTATATTAAGTGATCAAAACCTAAAAGTTTTCACTTTAAAATCAAGAACAAGACAGGGGTGTCCACTGTCATCACTCCTATTCAACAGAGTTCTGGAAACATTAACCAGAGCAATTAGACATGAGAAAGAGAAAGAAGGAATATAGAAAAGGAAGAATTTAAATTACCATTATTTGCAGATACGATATTCTACATAGAAGATCCTAAAACCTCCATCAAAAGACTTCTAGATTTAATAACCTGATTCAGTAGTGTAGCAGGATACAAATTCAAAACTTAAAAATCAATAGCTTTCCTGTACACAAATAACAAACTCATGAAGAAAAAATCAGGGAAACTACCTTTCACAATAGCCACAAAAATGATGAAATTATTTTTACTTAGGAATCAATCTGAGAAAGGAAGCAAAAAATCTCTACATTAAAAATATACCCCTCTGAAAAAAGGAGATCAAAGAGGATATCAGAAAATGGAAAGATATCCCTTGTTCTTGGGTAGGAAGAACCAATATAGTGAAAATGATCATACTCCTAAAACTGACATGCAGATTTAATGCATACCCAATCAAAATACCACTAGCATATCTTGCACAACTAGAGAAAATATTCTTAAAATTCACTTGGAACCAGAAGAGATCTGTAATAGCAAAATTAATTCTAGGCAGCAAAGACATTGCAATCCTTGACTTTAAATAATATTACAGACGTGATAAAAACAGCATGGTACTGGCAAAAAAAAAAAAAAAAGAGGACTGAGGACCAGTGAAACATAACAGAAGATGCAGAAACAACTCCAAATGCACTCAGCCACATGATCTTTGAGTAAGGGGCCAAACACATCCAATGGAAGAAAGAGCTCTGTGTTTAATAAATGATGCTGGAAAAACTGGCTTTCTCCATGCTAGACCCATGTTCATTATCATGCAGCAAACTAAAATAAAAATGCATCCAAGGTCGAAATATTAAAACAGAAACATTAATTCTGCTGGGAGATAGGATAGAACTCTTGAAGACCTAGCCTTATGAACAAAACCCCACTACACAGAAAATATCACAAAGAATCAACAACAGGCATCTCATCCTATTAAAAAGCTTTTCCACAACAAAAGAAATCACCAACAGAATGAAAAGATAACCTACAAAGTGTGAAAAAATTTTTGTCAACTGTTCTTCAGACAAAGGAGTAGTATCTAGAACATATAAAGAACTGGAAAAAAATCAGAGCACTCAAATTCAAAGACCCAATTCAAAAATTAGCATTAGAAATGAATAGACACTTCTCAGATGTATGAAAAAATGCTCAACAAAATTAGAATAACACTGAGATTCTATCTCACCCGAGAAAGAATGGATATTTTCAAGAAAACAACAGGTAACAAAAGCTGACTCTTAGAGAGCGTACCTTTTGCACTCTCAGGCAGAAGAGCCTGTTGTGTCTTGGTGACATAAAGTAAGTGGTAGTTTATGTTCTCCCATGTGGGCTACCCAGGAGTGGGGGCTCCTGAAGATAGATGGCAGCCCAGAGTGGCATTAGCTCTACCTCCTGCAGAGTCTACCAAGATAAAGGGAGGTTCTGAGCTGGCTCTCTGTGCTGGCTGGCGCTAAAATGACATGGAAATGCTGAGAATGACCTCGCCTGCACTCAGTCCCTGCTTGGCTGCCACATTTAGCAGGTGTGTGCTTTTGTTATTTCACCTACTTTTCTAAGTGTCCCTACTTTTAAGTTTCACTTGGTTGCCAGTGTGCTGAGTTGTTGCAGTGATTTCCTACGGTGCCCCCATCTCCTCATGCAGCACACTCTTGTTGATTAGGATGAATTTTCCAGAGCAATTTGTGAGTGTTGCTGCTGTGATCTGGAAGTCTCTCAGTTAATAGACCTTTAGAGCTAAATTTTACTCTGTCAGCTGAGGTTCTCCTCTATTATTGTAATTGTGTAGATGATGAAGAAATAAAGATGAGTAATATTCACCTGATTTAATTGACTAAAAGGGTACACAATGGTAAAGTACTGAGACAGATTTTTTTAAGAAGTATGAGACTTCTAGGGATAATGATTAGCTCTGCAGGGGTTAGGAACACAAGAAAAAGTCTGATATTAAAATATTGGCTTTAGAAGAGGACTGACACTTTATCACATCTTCTGATACTAAGTATTACCATCCAAAACAAAGCATGTCTATTTAATGGCGTGCATAGAAATTTTATTTTCATGCATTTACTCTGGAGCTATTGATGCCTTTACTGTAAGTCATGAGAGAAAATGTGCAGCGTTTTATCACTTATATGCATATTTACTATTTTTCTTACCTGATTTTTTTGAAGGTTAGCTTCTTCTAAGAGTTGCATGCTATCTCTGGCTCTTAAAATAGCCTCATATTTCTCATTTTCTAATTCATTGTACTTGGCTTTTAGGTCTCTGGTCTGCTTTTCCAGATGTGTTTTTTCTGTTCTTAATCGGTCAGCTTCTTGTATTGTCACGCATAACCTAGAAATTAATAAATAATTACAATGTGAAAGTTAAATGTTTTCTGAAGGGAAGGAGGGAGATAAGAGATTTACTGAGGATCTATTACAAAACAGGTGTTAACACCAGTAACTTTTACATGTATTTTCTCATTTGGTCTTCACTACAGTTCTGCAAAGTCAGTCTTATTATCTCTGTTTTAAAGAACAACATATCCAGAAAGGTTTAAGGTTTAATTAAGGGTATGGTCACATAGTACTAGGGTTGAGACCGAGCCTACATATCTGACTGTAATTAAAGTTACTATCTAATATAGTCATATGACAATATTATCATCTCTATATCCTTAAAGATTGAGTTGCTTTTCATATTTATATGGTCTTCTTTTCTTTTTTGCTTGGTTACCCTTTCTTGCCTCTCCAGGCTCACAGAATCATACACACACATACACATGCATACTGATACATACACCATATAAACACACTGATCCACAGGTTTCTCAACAGTTTTGTCTTATGAAAATTAAAATCATGGTATATATGCTTTCCTCACTCAGTGTCTTACTAAACTCCATTAAGCAATATATCTAAAAGCTCCTTCTTTTCCTGGTCTGATGAATATAACCTCACTTTACTGTTAAGTTTCTATTTTCCTGACTATGTATGGGGAATTTAAGCACGTTTTCTTACATTGGTAAGCTATGTGGATTTTCCTCTTTGAATTTCCTCTTCATCTTCTCTGCCACTTTTTTTCTAAGGAGTTTTTTTACTTGTCTCTTTGTAAGAACTCTGAATACTATTATCTGTTAGCCTTTCGTCAGTCTTTTACACTACAAAATATTTGTTTCTTAAACCTTCCTTCTGTTGTTCTTGCTGACTATTGCTATTTGGGGAATCTTTATCATACTAAAAATTCAATACAGACAAACTTGATAGTTTTTTTAACTTCTGGGATTTTAATTTTTATAAAGATGATCTTTCTCATAAATATGTATTACCAAGAAACATACTTTTCATTATAGTCTTTATGGTAGTATAACTTTTAAACTATATATTTTCCCTTGATAAAAATTAAAATTAATTAAAAATGAATAAAGTCACAGTTATTTAACATATACATAAAAATTGCTCGAAGCCAGGCATGGTGGTACACATCTATAATTGTAGCACTCATGAGGCTCAGGCAAGAGAATCACATTGAGTTTGAGGGTAGCTTGAGCTGCACAGTGAGTTCAAGACCAGCCTGAACTACACAGAGATTTTATCTAAAAACAACAACGATAACAAAAACTGACCTATATAGAACTGAGAAAAAATTTAATCTAACTTTATTAGGTCAATAGAAATATTTTTAGTAACCAAGAAATTAATTTGAAAGTATTTAACAATAATCATTTTGCAACAAATAATAGATATAATCACAGAAAAGATTTAAGATCTATTCTTTATTTTATTGTACCTTCTTCCTACCTTGTTTTATTTCATTGAACCTGTTCAGTCTGGAAAAACATGCTTTTAACTCCTGGAATAATTATAATTTATTATTCTTATAACTATATTTCTTTCTCATGCCAATTAATGTTAAAATGATAATATTTCAAAAGACAAAAAACATCAACAGAACTTTGCATTTCTAGGAGTTTATCTTTAGTGTGAAAGAAGAGGAAGACTTGAGACAGTGAACTAGTACTCTTGATGCAAAGCCCTTTATATACTATCTTACTTAATCTTAAAAGTAGTCTGCAGCTAAGTAAGTTAACTTCTTCAAAACACAAAGCTAAGATGTACGCACTTAAACAAAAAAACAAAACTATTTTGTCTGCTGTTAAGTCTCAAAATCTTTGTACTCCAGCAATTTGTATTCCTAGTCTCTTTTTAAAAATCATCAAGTTAATCTTCATTAAGTATTAATTTTATCATGTAGCCCTGCTTAAAGAATTTATAATAAAACTCATAAAATTAAAAAAACTCACAAAACTAAAATTCAACTTTATCTTATTTCCCAAATCCTCTACATTTTATCCAACCATTATTTATTACTAACTTCTGAATCCAGGCTTCTGTTCCATTCTTAGTCAGACCTACATTTTAGCATCTTTGGTTTAAAAATGTATATATTCTATTTTTCTTAGGAGTGGAGAGGGGAAACAAAATGTAAACAGTGGTTAAAATGAAAATCACTTTTCACTAGTCACCTCAAGATTTCTTGCTTGCTATAGTTTATAATAACAATTATTTGCATATTATTATTTATAATAAATACAAAGCAGTAGGTTAAAGCAATTCTCATTTACCTCCTGTCTTATTTAAGAAGCATTTATAAACCAGCAGTCTTTCCTAAAGTGACCTGCTATGCTGTGAGTCCCTTAATCATCTAAAATCAGGAATGGGTTAGAGATCTTTCTTTAGAAAGGATAAATAAATCACCTATGGTCTTCAAACATTTATGGCATTTGGAAAGATCACAAACAATAATTTAAAAATCTAATATTAAGTATTTATTAATGTGTAGTCTCTGGAACAAAGATGATCATTAAAATTGAGTTTCTAATCTATCAGTTTATTAAACAGGATATAGTCACACTTGAAACAGACTTAAATGTTGTTGAGAATCATATAGAAAATATTTAATGAAAGGTTTTTGAAAAATATTAAAATATATAATGATTCCTTAACATAACTGCAACAATTTCAACCAGGTGTGGCAGTGCACACCTGTAATTCTGGCTCTTAGGAAATTGAGGCAGGAGGATCGCCACAAGTTTGAGGCCAATCTAAACTAGCCTGAACTCGATAGATAGATCCTCTTTTAAAAAAATTAAAAAACATGAAACAATAAAAAAAGCAAACCCAAAAAACTCAATTTCACAACACTGAAAGAATATAAAAATTTTCCTTTCAGCGAAGGCCATATGAATAGTAGACTTAAAAAATACCTCCTTAAACAAACATTTGTGGTGATCTTCTAGCGAGCTATTCAATTATGCTTATTTTATGAAAGTTTTACACTAAAAACAACAAAACAACACAACTCTGAACCTTCAATCCTACAAAAATATATCATTGTTGAAAAATAAACATGATTCTTTACTGTAATTAAAATGAATTGAAATTCACCCTCAGATATTATTGATTCCAGTCATTAGCGTTACATAGCACAAAACACAGAAAGTACAAAAATAAAAATCTATAACTAGAATCTTCTTCTGAGGGAAAATTAAAGAAGTACAAGAAAGCAATTTAATAATCAACTGTTGAAAAGTTAAAAAAAAAAAAACCCAAACTGAAATATCCCAAACTCTTTCATTAATCCCAAATAAACAGCTAAAATCAATTCTCTCTCTCTCCCCCCTCTTCTCTCTCTCTTCCCCTGCCCTCTCTCTCATTTTTGATACTGGAAATTGAACTCACGATCTCATGCTTGCCAGGCAGGCATTGTGCTGCTGAGCTCTTTTCTGTCCCCTAAAATCAATTAGTTCTCAATCTGCTACAAACAAACTGATTACATTTATTACCATTTTGGAAAAAAAGACAAAAAGAATTCAAAGACTAATGTTTTTCTGGACATACCCAAATTAGCCATGAATGGATCTGTTACTAGAACCAACATATCAGTAAAATATTTCAGTATAGGAACTCACAGACTATGACCAATTTACCTCTAAAGTAATACTAATGACAGTTTTCTCAGGATGCAGTCCATAAGGGATACGAAACAACAAACGATTCTAGAGTCAACTTTTGCAATAAGGTAGCAATTTTAGATAAAAACTTAGAGTACACTTAAAGTAGTCCAGATCTTCAAATATAACCAAAAATTCATGTATTCCTTCAGAAAACTTCAAGGAAAACCTCTACAATGATTTCCAAAGTGTTTTTTTCCCTTGTGTATCTATTTAGTAACCAGAAAAAGAATACATAATGTTTACCCAACTTCATGGCTTGATACCCCCATACTCATTTCAAAATGAAAAGTACATTTTGAATTTCAGATTGACTAAAACTGACTATGACTGCTTTGGGTGAAAATAATAATAATAAATATTTAAATCAGTAAACAATAACTTCCTTAGATGTGAAAAAACAATTGCTTTCTTTGTTTAATACATGCCTTAAACTTTGTATTTTATGATTTTATCCAATGGGAGAACTGGTTCAAAAATCTTTGTTTCCCTCTTATCAGTCAAGTGGTTTATTTTCTCATGCACTGCATAATTTTGAGTATGCTCATATTTGCCTGAATTTATCTGTGGAATTCTGAGAAGCCTAAGTTAAAAATACTTCCCCTCAAAACAAATTTATTTCTGCTTCTTCTATGCACCAGGACTTAATACTGAGCTCCTGCCACTTTAGTTTTTGGCTGAAAGTTAGTTTTGGTTCAGGTTTCCACATGAACAAACTATATAAATCTGAACCCCAAGCTTATCTGAAGCATTATGATTGTATGTGTATATTCTCAGAGAAGTCCATAATGTTGCTGCTTCCTCCTCCTCCTCCTCCTTTATTCCTACTCCTCCTTCTCCTTTTCTCCTCCTCCCATGCCTCCTCTTCCTCTTTCTTCTTCTTCTAATAGTTGCCAAAATGGGAAATGGTTTCCAATGTTGGCCATATTTGCTAAGAGGTAAACACTTTTTCTGATTTTAGCCTTTCAATAAAGGTTATAATTCCTACAAGGGTTTCAGTTAAGGAAGGCTAGCGATTTAGCTAGCTGCCCCATTATGTAGTCCTAGCCCTGACTTGTTTGCTTATTGATCACTTTGGTTTTAGCTCCTTGGTTGGTTTGTTTCTTTATCTATACCCTTGGGATTTATCTCTTACATTTAAATGCTCAGTTTATAATACAGATGTTTGTTGTAATTTACTATAAATATGTTCACATCAAAAGGGCTTTCCCCAGAATATTTAGTCTGTTACTATGTGACTGAAAGTCTGCCCATTTATAATGAATCCTTATTTTGTTTCCCTCCATTTCTAACTTGCAGTACTAAATTGTTGGTCCACCTAAACATCTACTTCAGAATTTGAGAACAGATGCCAGTGGAATATTACATGTACTATAGGCACCTTTTGTTTTTCCTTTGTACAGATGATATTGGACTTGATCCCTGTGATCCCAGGAAAACAAAGGATAACCAAAAAATTCCCTGACCCTTGTTTTCCAAAACCCTCTATCTCGTATTCTGGAAAAGTGCTAACAGTGAAGGACAACCCTGCTTTACACATCCTAAGGAAGACCCACCTCCAATGTTTGTCATGATTGCCATAATACTCATGCATGTCTCAACTTTCCATTTGCCTATATAAAACGTTAGGCCAGGCCCCTTCTCTAATTTTGTAAACATTCTTCATTAATGAATATTCTCTGAGCTACAACATCTTCAATAAGTGATCTCCTAAATTTATCTGGTATGGGGTCCAGACCTAGATCCCTAATCTCCCAAACAAGCGTATGTTGAAGGTTTAAAGGATTTTAGGGTTCCGAGAGGGTCAAAACCCTTTAGCTAAGCACGAGAGGGCTAAGACAAAGACTTCTCTGGACCACCCATATTTATTAGGTCCAAAGCAAGGGCCTGTAAACTGAGGAAAGCATGGGAAATCAGCAGGACCTTGGGAGTCATTTCAAAGTCTTCTTCAAGTAGTAAATTATGTCAATTTAGGAGACCGGTCTTATCTTCAGGATGACATTTATGGTAGGACTGATACTGCAGGAGTGAAATTCCTTCAGCTGCAGTCTTTATTTACTTAATTAGTATTGGAGCCAAGGTGTCTTCAGCTGTGGCCTTATCTTGCCCTTTGAGGTATCTCTGGCCTCACAGGCCACTACAGGCCTCAGCCAGGACCAGTGATTCATAGACGTCCACTTACTATGACTCAGCTTCCGTCACCAGGCAAGGGGCTGAGGCTCAGGACAGACTCACAGATAAACATAGAAAGCCAATTAGTTAATTTTAAATCCTAATCAGAGCCGCTTTGTAGTGGTCTCCAACAATCTGGTGCATCTGGTCTTCATTACACTACAGAGTCCTTAAATTATTCAACCAAACCTTGAAAGGAAGTGTTAAAATTCTACTTTTCATTCACTTTCACATTACTAATTTAACCTTTTAACACCCCCAACATATTCTATGGTAATCTATCTTTTAAAATGTCTACAGTCTAGGAAGTAAATATTTCCTGAACAAAAAAGTGATTTGTATGCTAAGTATATAAAGATATATGAATCTGTATGTATTCTTCAGGAAATGAAGGTGAAATCACAAACATAAATTCAGGTTGATAGTGGTAGCCAACCAACACCCAACTGTTGAGCAACCCCTTTAAGTATTTATGCAGGGGGCTGGAGATTTAGCTCAGCGGCATAAGTGCCTGTCTTGCAAGCAGGCAGTTGTGAGTTCGATCCCCGGTACCGATAAAAAGGAAAAAGACAAAAAAAAAAAAAAAAAAATTAAAAAAAAAAAAAAGAATTTATGCGTATAAGCAGACGTGTGGTGCATGTCTGTAATTCCAGCACTTGGGAGGCTGAGACAGGAAGATCATTGTGACTTAGAGGCCAATCTGGGCTAGTGAGTTCAAAGTAAGACCCTATTTCAATAAACAAAACAAAACAACAACAACAAAAAACAAACAAACCACACACATGCATACACACACACACACACACAAAAAAAAAAAACCCAAAAGTTTAAGCATATAAATGACTAAGACAATTCAAATGAAAAGGAATTGATTGTATAAGTGTTAGCTATTAATGAGACTTTATTCTACATTTATACTTATCTTTTGACAGCCCTATTTTAACTAGAGCATCCACTGATCAACTTTTCCTCGTGATAATGATTGAAATGGCATGAAGAACATTTAATAATATGTATACTTTAAAACATATTCTGCATTATTTAAACTAAGCATAATTTTAGGAGCTCTTGTCATCCACAGACACGAGGATCAGGTGTGACTGATGCTGGCCACTGCAAGAGCCCCAGAAGCTCTCATGCTGTGCTGTCCGTACTCAAAACAAGTTGATCAAACTATGCTTCATCTGTGAATATGGAAGTCCCTTTCAAGAGGGAATTTTAAAGATTCTTCTCCTCACAATGCATAGAAAATCACACTTACACTGGGATATATCTCAATTTTCTGAGACCTTTTCCTACTACTCCTGTTCCGTGAGTACAGTGTAGCGGTGGCTGCTCCTCTGAGACATTTACAGAAACAATTCTCCTCCCTTTGTTCTTTTCAAGGATATTTCCCATCCCCTTTCCTTGCAGTTTAACTTTTAAACAGACGCCACATCTAAATGATTATGACATTAAGTACTTTCTTTATATTTACAGAGTCAGACATCTGGTGACTTTGAGATTGTATCAGAATACGTAATGTCCTTCCTTATTCTTTAGTTCTGTAACATCAATTAACACAAAGCATGTATACTGCTGTGATGCTTTAACTTGCCGAAGAGCAGTATGTTTACAAATAACCCAGAAGGTCAAGGTCAACTACAGTGCTCTGGCCAAAGAAAAAGAAAAAAGAGACACATAGTCCAGGTAAGAAAGAACTCATCAGCATATTTATTTCCTGCACATTATTCCCTCTTCTTCTTTCTCATCCTGTAAATGCCCTTTTTGTACGTGAGTTCCCCAAAATGGAGTTCTGAGGCCATAGCCTCCCTCTCCATCTTCACAAAATGCCCTTGAATAAAACTGATTTCCTTCTCAGGAACACTTGTATCCTGAGTACTGGCTTTTGAACGGAGAGCAGCTGGACTTGGGCCTGCTAACAAGTTGAACATGAATTTTAAGTATGTTTAGCATATGACTCCTATATCCTGTTCAAAACAAAACTGCCCCCCTCCAAAAAACAAAAAACTTGCCCCAAACTATTCTCTCTATGATAGCAATGGCATTTGAGATGCAGAAACATTTTGGTGGTTACAATGGTAAGAAGCATAACTAGAATTTAGTGTTGGATTATGGACACCAAATATTCCAAAATTATTAGCATAGCTTCAAATGACAGTTGTCTAACTCAATTAGGTGAGTTAATACAGTATTACTGAAAATATAACATGGCATCAACCGATGATGGCTAGAAGGCAAACATCAGTGATAGGGAAGGACTCAGAAGGGCCACTGGATATTACAATTTCCAAGAACATGCGAACAGGATTGGGGAGCATCTCAACTTCTAGGGGACCAAAAGAGTCAAGGAATAAGCTTCAGTTTGCAGGGCTTTCCTGATACATTGAGCCCAAGATGCAGAAACAATCTACAGCACTCAGCTCCTATAGATAATCTCTTCAGTGTTTATAGCCCAAGATTCCTAAAAAATAGTTTTAAAACCTGACATTCTTTTACTTTCATTGCCTTCTATTTCAATGGTTTATTTCTCCTGTCACTGAATTAGTAATAATAGATTCTGGGGGAATTTGAGGTAATATCAATTTTTTCTGATAATATCACATAAAAAAATTAAGTGCTCTTCAGAAGAAAGGATTTTAAATTCCTGAAGACCAGTTTGGTTCACTCCAAAAGCCATTCAATCAGGAATAAAATGAAGGGATGCTTTAGTATTAAAACAAAAACATGGCTGTTCAGTTTTATCTTTTAAAAAATTACTGAACTAAATTTGATGCAGCTGTTCTCTTCCAAATTTATGACATAAATTAAGATAGTTTGTAAAGGATCTGACTCATTAAACAAATAATTTTGGAAATATGTTCAAAGAATGATAATATACACAATATAATTTTTAAAATAAGCATAAAATCAGATTGTATCTATGAGTGTAAGGGCTGGGGATATAGGTTGGTGGCATAAGTGCCTCCTTGGAAAGTGCAAGGTTATGAGTTAGATCCTTGGTATGAAAAACAAACAAACTATATCTATGATTAGTTGATTTAGTACTATAAAATGTATATTCTAATAAACACCATAAACTGAAATTCTACTGTGGCATATATTTTGAAGAACATAGATAGCGCTAGACAGAGTTAACAATTTACCTTGTTTCTAATTGTCTTATACTAGATTGTAACTGCTGTAAGCGCCTATCTGATGCTTCCTCTCTTCCTTGGGCAGACATCATATCCTCCTCCTAGAAAATAAGGAAACTGAAGCTTACTTCAAGTATTTAAAAAATTATTACAATGACTTATAGCACAACAAAAATAATACCCCAAAGTTATTGTGCTGTTAGAATTTTAACATGTAAATTTTTAAAAACAATATAATAAAAAGGGACAGAATCTCCCATCAATACCATATTAAGTAATCAAAACATTTATTTCATATAGATTTCTACCAGTGTTTCAAACAGTTTCAACAGTGCAAGTTTAACAAAATAAGACAAGTGTCTGTGCAGACAATCTGCGTTTAAGATAAGTTCTATTAATTGTACTACCTCTTACTATCTATCAAAGTAACCTCTGGAATATCACCTTGACAATTTCAAATATATGAATAGATTTTTTTATTTGCATCATCTTCCTAGAAAAAAATTCTATCCTTTCCTGCCTGCTTTCATTAAATATGTTCATAATGTCATTTTAATTTCTTTTGCTCTTAATTTTATTTTTTGAATTATTTTGTCGCTATTAACGTTATAACATGCTTAACTCCTATTAATACAAAAAATTCAGATAATAAATTGAAACCTTGAAACAATATATTTCCGTGCATTATATAAGTGCCACTGTCATAAAAATATCTGTATACTTCAAAAACTCATTAAATAGTATTAAAGTCTGCTGTAACTAGTCGTGTCTTTTAAAGATATTCAGCGAAACAATGCACATTTATGATTTACTACCATTTTTAGCTTTTAATCAATTCCTATAGCTGCTATCTAGTCTATTTTTGTTCTATTTCCTCAAATCTTCCTTTAGAATTTTTAAAAATTTAGGTCTGTTGAGGACAAACTCCATTTTTGTTTATTCAACAATCTTTTTTTTAATCTCAATTTCAGAAATTTAGCTTTACTACAGACACAATTCTTAGCATTTTTTTCCTTTAGCACTTAGAATATATCATTCCAATGTTTTGTTCTTTCAAAAAGTACAAAAAAATGGTACCAGAGAAATGGTGTCATTGCTCTGATTATACCTAACTATGTGGTTTATAATTCTTTGGAAATGATTCATGGGAAGACTTTGGAAAGGTTTGGAGATGCTGGCTAGAGAAGACCTAGAAAAATAGAAGCCAAGCTTGGTGGGGGATTCTGGTTGGAGCTCAGAAGACCAGAATGCTGATACAAATGAAGACAGTAAAGGTCAGGTTTAGAAGGTTTGAGTTGGGAATAAGAACTCCATCAGGATTTGGACTGGAGGTTATATGTGTAACATTCTGGCAGAAAAATCTGTTTATATTTTTCCCATTTTCTGAGACTTTGTGGGCAACTGAGATTTGGGGTTATAGCCTAATTAATCTGGTGGAGGAAATTTCAAGGCAGCCCAGTATTCAGGCTGTGGCCAACAGTGACAATATGGAGCACATATTAGAGCCAAAAGTTCTAAGAAGTTTGAAGTTTCAACAGAAAAAATACTTCCAAGTTGGGGCCAGGCAGAGCTTGGTTGAAGAAAAGATTAGCAATAAAAAGAAGCCAAGTACTTTGCATCACGACAATAGGAAAGGGGGTTTGAAGGTATCTCAAGCATCAACAAGACCCCACCCTTAGCTAGCACAGGGGTACAGACTGTTAACTTTCATTTGAAAAGAGAATCCCAGGATGTCTTGCTCACTTGGGGTTAAACAGGAAAATGTTTCCTCAAGTTCAGCCATCCAGGCACTCAGAACTATTGCCTAATGCTCAAGCAGGTGACAGACCTCAGCATCTCCCATGTGGTACAGCTTTTACAGGTATGTGGAATGCAACAGTTATGGGGTCATGGAGGCTTCCATCCAGATTTCAGAGGAAGATGTGGGAGGCCAGGCAGCATGCCTGAGAGAGTAGTTCATGAAAGTAAAGCCAAAAACTGTGAACCTGAAAATGTAGTGGAGACCGTAGGAAGTTGGAGATGTCGGGAATTTGGAACATCTTCCAAGGAAAACTACAGGTGGTGAGCAAAGGCACCCAAAAAGAGAGGCTATGTGGGCCGCAATCAGCAATGCTGTAGGGATGGGCTTAGGCCTCCTGGAGTTCACTTTTCCCGGTAACTTGCCTTGGCTGCTGGACCCAGAGACACAGGACATAATGTCTGTTCTGCTAGGTTTTGGTCTTATTTTAGTATGATTTCGTTCTATCCCTCTATTTCTCTCTTTGGAAATGGAAATGTTTACCTTGTGCTACTCTATATTTGATGAATTTAATTTTTTTCTTTATTTTTTTTAGCTTTACAGGGATCACAACCAAAGTTTACCTTTAGTCTCAGAGAAGACTTTGGATTTGGCTTTATCAACAATGCTAGAACTGTAAAGATTTTCGTGGTGACATTTAGAGATGCACTAAATGCATTTTACTTAATGAGAAGGACACGAGCTTTTGGGGGGCCAGCAGTGGAATGGTATTGCTTAAGATATAAAATGTTTTCTCCAAACTTCATGTGTTTGGAAGGTGATTGGATCACAGCAGCATTGGACTCATCAGTGCATTAATCTACAGATGGGGTTCAGTAGTGAAACATGTTATGAGGTGGGGATTTGATAAACGGGGGTCACTTGGGGTAGGGCTGACCTGGAAAAGTATATTCTTGTCCTTGTCTCCCTTCTATCTCTTTGTTTACTGGCTACCTTTTTCTCCACCATTCCTCTCTGCTGTCCTGTTTCTGCCTTGTAGGCGGCTGACTGTGGGCTGAACCTGAGTCAAAACAAACCTCTCTTTCTTTAAGTTGTAGGTATTAGGTATTGTGTCTAGAGATGGAAAAGTGACTAATTACAGTTTCTTTTTTTCCAGCCCCTCAACTACCTTCCTTTGTCCTTCCTTTGATCTCTTTCCCCTTGTCTAATAGTCTTTCTTCCATTATGTAGTCTTTTTTTTCTAGATTCGTATGTGAAGGAAACATGTGATACTTATCTTCCTGAGTTTGGCTTATTCTTCTTACTATGATGATCTTCAGTTCCATCTATTTCTTCTGAAAATTACATGATTTCATTCTTTTTTATGCCTGAATACTATTCAACACATAGATATAGATAGATAGGCAGAAGAAGTCAGCATGCTCACTTTAATTCCTTCTGTTACTTACTGAATAGTATAGCTGGCTTACATGATAGCTTAATTTTTACTGTTTAAAGGAAGCTCCAACACTGATTTCTATAGTGGCTGTGCTAATTTACATTCCTCCTAACACTGTATCAGGAAGGATTGCTTTTTTCCTGCATCCGTATCACCATTAATTATATTTTTTACTCTTGATGATAGCTATTCTGACTGGGGTGAGATGGAATCTCAATGTAGTTTTATCTTACACTTATGTCTTTTATCTATTTTGAGTTGATTTTTACATAGGGTGAGAGAAAGGGATTTTATTTCAACCTTCTACATGTGTATATCCAATTTTCCTAATATTTTACAAAGGGTATCTTTCATCTAATGTATGTTTTGGTGCCTTGTCAAGAATCAGATGCCTGTGGCTGTGTAGGTTCATTTTCTGGGTCCTGTGTTCTTTTCACTGGACTATTTGTGTGTTTTTATGCCAGTAACATGCTGTTTTAATTATTGTAGCACTTTAATATATTTTGAAGAGGGATATTGTGAGGCTTTCCCACATGATTATTTCTGCAGATGACTGATTTGGTTAGTTAGGGGCTTTTGTGCTTCCACATTAACTTTAGAATTGTTTTTGAGTTCTGAGAAGAATGTCACATATTTTGATGGGGTACTTCCATAGTTTGTTGATGAGAACTCAGCCATTAATCTTACTGTTTCCTTGTTCAGATCATTTTTCTATTGCTAGTTTTAATTTTTTCCTTTACAATTGATATCATGTTGTATCTAGAAGTGATGCTTTTATGTGTGTGTTTATCCTACTTGGGGTTCACTGAGACTCCTGGATCTGTCAAAGCTTTCCACCAAATTTGGAATGTTTCTAACCATTATTTCTGTTGTCCCCCTGCCAACTTTTCCCGTCTTATGGCAACTCCAGTTATATTTATGTTGCACTGGTATAGTCCCACAGTGGCTGTTAAGGTGGAGTTTAAACTTGGTTGGCTTTGGTACACCCCCCTCAAGGACTGGTGAAGTACACTTCTGGGTGTCTCTGGTGAGTAATGGAGGCACAGCTTGGGGTCTATGTCTGTTCTCTTACCACTTCCTCTCTGTTGCTGTTTCCATGCTCAACTCCCACTGACTATAAACTAAGTATCTTTGCTCTTCCAGGCTCTTTTGCCATGATGCCCCTGCTTTGGGGAGCCAGCTGAGTATGAACAGATTCTGCCAAACCATTAGATAATTTAAACCTTTCCTATTTTATTTAACTTTTATTTCCTATTTAATTTCCTATTTTATTTATTTAAATCTTTCCAACAACAGAAAAGCTAATACACCCACAGATCTCTTCAATATTTTTAACTCTGATTTTTGTACAAGGAAATTTTTATTCAATCAAATTTTTAAAAATTCCTTAAACATTTTTGATAGCTGGTTTGAAGCCTGTTCTTGCTAACTCCAACAGTGAGGCCCACTGAGAGTTCCTACTGACAGCTTCTTTGTCTCTCTAATATTTGCCTCATGTGTATAGACTATACTTTCATGTCCAGTAAGTTTTGGTTGAAAGCTAGACTTTTTTTTTGATAATATACTACAGTTCTAAGTTTTGATTTGATCTTTTGAAGATTATGATTTGTTTGTTTTGTTTTGTTTTTTCACTGTTGTTCAAGTAGGCAATTATCCTGTTTGGAACTGAACCCAGAAATCTGTTCCCCCTACAATATGCAGCAGCTAGGACTCTAGGGAATGCCTCTGCATAATTTGAGAATCAGTCCAAATTTGGGAAGAAGTAGGGTTCATTTTTTATGACTTTCTTGCTGTTATGGAATCCCTTCTACTTTCCAGCTTTGGAGGTCTGCCCTCTGATACTTCAAATAATAGATCTTCAGCTTCCTGTTGTTCAATTTGTATATGTATTTAGAATGTACTCAATCATAAAATGTACCAAACCCAAATATTTAGTTCCATATGTATATGCATCTTTCCAGAGTAAATTTTCTCAGATTTATCCCTGATTCCTTATTGAACTCCTTGTGGTTGTTCCCATACACCATATGGATTATCTGGCTGTTAGGTATAGGTCTAGCAAGATTTTGTATTAGAATTTGGTCTCATTTTTTATGTTCTCTTATTGTTAGCATTTTTTCATTAAATTCATAACTTCTTACCAAGACTTCAACTCTAATCAGGAGTACCTTATGACCATTTAAAGGTGGTGTTTTCTGACACCACAGCTGTAAGGACTGCGAGAACAAGCAGGTCAGTTTTTACCTAATAATTCTGATCTCTTTCTTTTCTGTTTTGAATGTCTTCTACATATAAAAAATTATCCAGTTTTTATAACTGTTTTCTATAGGAGAGTTCTTGTAATCCCTTCTCAAATTTTTTACTATTGGAGATCCATACTTAACATTTTAGAGATCAAGAAATAACGATTAAAAAGTTACAGAACTAATAAATGCTTAGGGATTTGCTTAGGGATGATTATATTTTATTGAATTAGGGTAAAGTGGATGGAAATAGAAGAGTCTTTATATAGCTGTTTCCAATATTATAATTTAACTTACTCTTTTCACATCTTATATTTAAGGATCAATAAAATATTATCCTCTAACAATCTTCTTTAACACCCACACCAAAATATACAAAGAAAATTAAGCCATTAGCTTCCCACTGTTTTAGAAATGAAAAGTACCTTCTTTTGCATTTGTTCCTGAAGACTTTCAGTCATTTTTGTTAACTCTTCAACTTTTGCTACTCCAGCTCTCAGATCTAACTTGGCTTGTCTAAAAAAGAAAGTAAATTAATGAATACTGTTCTCATAGGTCATAAAAAATAAAAAGAATAGAAATCCAAATTTGGTAAATCATTACTCATATGTACCTAAAGTTGGATCTAAAATTATGAAGTATTTATTATTAATAAAATGTTAAAGTGAATAAAATGGGAAAAATTAATTGGATAATTTATTTTAATCACTTATAAGTCCAACTATTTAACTACATGGTGACCAAAAATTGTATATTGTTTGCTAATTTTTATAAGATAATATAACAGAAAATAAAAAAAATGACAATTTTATCAAATTCATCCAGTAAATTTACTGTATATGGTGTATCTTATACCAAAAGCAATGTTACAATCTGGATAGTAGTATTTAGTCTCTTTGTGAATTGTTTTTGCATTATTGTCTTTCTTTGAACAATATACTTTACACTGTTATGTTACTATTTTCTTTTGTTCTATGGGTAGTATAATTTCAATAAATTGTCTACCCATTAAAGGTAACGGAAAAGACATCAATGATGGATACTTTGGCTGGCATTTTGCATCTTTTTTGATTATTTGATCTATTAGACCTAATCTAAATTGTAAATGATTCCTTTAATTGCCCTTATTTTGAATAAATAACAAATGAGTTCCAAATTTTGTAGTCCAGAAGGTGCATAAATACTTTTGTAATAATGTTTTTTCCTTGCTGTGCCACTGAGCAATATCCCAGTTCAACCTTGTTAAATGTGGTCAGCAGCACAGAATTATTATAATGACTGACCACCACTAGAATTTTTAGTTTTCTTTCTTCTTTTCAAGTTCTATCATTTCTTTATTGGCCTATAAATAGGCCAATAAAGAGATATATTTTTTCTTTCAATTTCAAAAGATAGACTTTTCCTTTCTATTATGCTAACACTGTTTTCTTTTTCAGTTTTCTCTTTTGCAAATCTTTTGGCACTTCCTTATTATTCAGTCTCAATGTCCTAAATATGTACACTTTGTATTGTAAAAGAATATCACTGAGTTCTGCAGAAATATAAAACATATCTAATGTACTTAAGGCAAACCTTTTTACAGATTATGGCTCAAAAATTGTAGGTTATGACACTAGACCAGCTCGGTGGGTCTTGTACCTGCCTGGACAGGTCTCGCCGCTCCCTGCCAGGCTTGACGGACTTAGAGTTCTGGGCCTGCCAGCGCCATCAGTTCCAGAGGCTGGGCGGCCTGGGGTGAGTGTCCCCTGTACCATCCCACGAGCCCAGCTAATTTGGGGCCCTGGTTCAGCCAAAGACAGGGAACTTCAAGTGGCCTCCTATTGCACTGGGCCAGCTAGGGTGGGTCTTGAGCCAGCCTGCCCCACCCTCAGTGACCCTCTCTCAATCTGGGGAACTGGGTGGCCAGAGTCAAAGGAGCAGAGGGCATAGAAGACGATTTCCAGTAGGCCCTGGGGAAGCCTTGGAATAACACTCGAACCTCGGAAATATAGGAAAATAACAAAATGAAAGACCAAAATACCATCTCAAACCTCCAGCCCATCCCAAGAAACCTTCGGAGCTATGTACACAGAAGAAAATACATGCCATACACCTGAAATACCTGTAATAATAGCAACTGAAATAAAGAAGCAACTTGGGGAAGCTTTAAAGGAATTCATACTAGAAATAATCTCCCAAATAAAGAAGAAATGATAAAACAAATGAAAGAGATGCTGAACATATCTAAAGAAGACACAGTTAAAAAATTGGAGGAACTAAACAAAAAGATAGAATCCCTGGATGAACAACATAAAAAACAAACAGAAGACATGAAGCAGATGCAAAGAGATACAGAGGAAATCAAAAATTCCATTGAAAGTTGTAAAAACCACCTCAATAGAAGTGAAGATAGAATTTCAGATCTCGAAGACAAGATTGCAGCTAGTGAACAGGAAAGAAAAGAGCTTTTAAAAATAACAAGGAATCAGGAAATAACAATTCAACAGCTTCAAGATGATGCAAAGAAAAACAACATAAGATTGATAGGGATAAATGAAAAAGGAGGGGACAACATAAAGGATGTCAAGAGGAGAGAAGTAATAGCTGAAAATTTCCTAAACATGAGATGGGAAACTGATATCATGATCAGTGAAGCATACAGAACTCCAAATAGCCATAACCAAAATAAAACTACACCCAGACATATAATAATCACCATCCCAGATATCCAACATAAGAATAGAATATTAAAAGCTGTCAGAGAGAAAAGACAGATCACCTATAAAGGAAAACCAATCAGAATCACAGCAGACCTCTCAGCACAAACAATAAAGTCAAGAAGAGCATGGAGTGAAGTATTTCAGATTCTAAAGGAGAATGACTTCCAACCTAGACTGATGTACCCTGTAAAACTGTCCTTCAAAATGGATGGAGAAATAAGATACTTCCATGATAAAGAACAGTTGAAGAACTTCATAATCACCAAGCCAATCCTACAAAGAATACTGAAAGACAGTTTAGATACAATTAGGAAAAACCACTAAGCAAAGCAGACAATTAAACAGAACAGAAAGATAAGATGCAACAGCAGAAAGATAACATGTTAACGGTAAACCAATGTATAACAGTTATAATCATTAATGTAAATGGTCTCAATCCACCAATTAAAAGAAATAGACTGGCAGAATGGATCAACAAACAAAATCCAACCATATGGTTTCTACAAGAAACGCATCTAACTCAAAAGGATACTCACAGACTGAAAGTCAAAGGATGGAAAACAATATTTCATGCAATAGGAATAAAAAAAAAAGGTGGGGGTAGCTATTCTGTTTGCAGACAATGGGAACTTCAAACCAATAATGATCAAAAGAGATAAAGAAGGTCATTACATACTGGTTAGGGGAAAACTTCAAGAGGAAGAGATAACTATCTTAAATATATATGCACCAAATTCCAGAGCACCCAGTTATATAAAACAAATATTAACAGAAATATAAACCAAATTAGCAGTAATACAATTATAACAGGAGACCTTAAGACACCACTGACACCAAGGGACGGATCAACCAGACAGAAAATCAGCAAACAAATAACAGAATTGAATCACACCTGTGAACAAATGGACTTGATAGACATATACAGAGTATTTCATCCAACATCAGAATACACATTCTTTTCAGGAGTACATGGCTCATTCTCTAAAACAGACCATATATTAGCTCAGAGAACATATTTAAATAAATGCAAGAGATGAAATTATCCCTTGCATGTTATCGGATCATAGCACCATGAAACTAGAAATTAATGATAAAAGATACTGCAAAAATCCCACAAACACATGGAAACTGAATAACACACTTTTGAGTAATCAGTGGGTCACAGGAGAAATTAAAGAAGAAATTAAACAATACCTAAAGCAAATGAAAATACAAATACAACTTACCAGAATCTGTGGGATGCAATGAAAGCTGTCCTCAGAGGAAAATTTATTGCATTGAGTTCCCATATCAGGAAAACAGAACGAATACAAATAAATAACCTGATGCTACACCTCAAACAGCTAGAAAAAGAAGAGCAAGTCAAGCCAAAAGCCAAAAGAAGGGAGGAAATTATAAAAATCAGAGCAGAAATTAATGCAATAGAGACTAAGACAACAATCCAAAGAATCAAGAATCAAAGAGTTGGTTCTTTGAAAGAATAAATAAATTGATAAGCTCCTAGCCAACCTCATTAAAAAAGGGAAGAAAAAGTTCAAATTCATGCATTAAGGAATGAAAAAGATGAAATCAGTACAGATTGTAGAAATACGGAAGATCATCAACACCTATTTCGAAAACCTCCACTCTCGTAAGTTTGATTACACAGAAGAAATAGATTCCTAGAAACATATGAAGTACCAAAGCTAGGTCAAGAAGATATAAAACTGCTGAATAACCCAATTTCTGTTAATTAAATTGAAAATGTAATAAAGTCCTTATCTATAAGGAAGAGACTAGGCCCAGACCGATTCACTGCAGAATTCTACAAGAAGTACAAAGAAGACTTAATGCTGACACTCCCTAAACTCTTCAATGAAACTGAAAGGGAAGCAATCCTTTCTAAGTCATTCCTGGAAGCAAGTATTACTCTAGTACCAAAACCTGAGAAGGACCCAACTAAAAAAAAGAACTATAGACCAATCTCCCTAATGAACACAGATGAAAAAATCCTCAATAAAATATTGGCAAATAGGATGCAATAAATCATCAAGAAGATTATACACCATGACCAAGTGGGATTTACCCCAGACATGCAGGGATGGTTCAACACAAATAAAATCAATAAATGTAATCCACCATATCAATAAAACCAAAGTAAGACTCACATGATCATTTCTATAGATGCAGAAAAGGCTTTTTGTAAGGTCCGACATTCATTCATGATAAGAACTTTACAGAAAATTGGAATATATGGTCTTTACCTCAACATAATAAAGGCCATCTATGACAAACCAACAGCCAGTACCATACTAAATGGCCAAAATTTGAAGGCCTTTACTTTAAAATCAGGCACAAGACAAGGATGTTCCTTATCATCGCTGCTATTTAATGTAGTACTAGAAATACTATAGAGCAATTAGATAAGAGAGAGAAATAAAAGAGGTAAAGATAGAAAAAGAAGTTAAATTATCATTATTTGAAGATGATGTGATACTCTACATAGAAGACACCCCAAAAGACTGTTAGATATAATAAATAAATCGAGCAATGTAACTGGATAAAATCAATACTCAAAAATCAATAGCATTCCTATACACTAACAACAAAATCACTGACAGAAATAAAAGAAACCACACCCTTCACACTAGCAACCAAAAAAATGAAATATTTAGGAATTACTCTCATGAAAGAAGTGAAAGAACTATACAGGGAAAATTATAATACACTGAAAAAAGAAATTGAAGAGGATCTCAGAAAGTGGAAGGACATCCCTTGCTCATGGATAGGAAGAATAAATATTGTGAAAATGGCCATTCTCCCAAAACCGTCATACAT